GTAAAAGCCTTATGCTGAAGTGCAAACATGTTTGTGATGCTGTGAGAGCGTGTTGCTCCCGGCCGCCGCCTGGGTAGCCACAGCTCCACTGGAGCAGGCAGGCTGTGCGAAGTCGACTTGGAGGCACACTGCACCGTGGAGCTGAAACCAGTAACATAAAATCAGCACTTGACCTTGTTTACAATATTTAAATAAAGGAAGGAAATTAATAAAAATCATTTGAAATGAAAGGAGTTCAATATAGTTCAGTTTTTGAAAGGTAATCTATGTTCTTTGATAATGGAAATGCTATAAACGGTAGTGTTTCTGTATTTTCTTAGCAATCTGTCAGACATCAAGCAAAGTACTAGCTTCAGGTTGTTTCTATATTAGATGGCTCCATTCTTTCTGATGATACCATGTCTTTGGGAAGCTGGGTTTTCAGCAGTTGTGATGACAAGCAAGTGTGGGATAAAAATCAATATGGAACAGGGAATGAGAGTTTAGATGTCATGTAATGACAAACAGGTGTCATGATGTCAGGACATAAACACTTATTAAGATATTTGGACCAAACTGTTTAACAAATAAAATTGTTAGCTATTTCTTTTGGTTTGAAGGGTACCATCTAAAAATTACTGGTACCCTAAATTGCAGAGATCTGAGAAATTTGGGCAGCCTGTATTGATTCAATATGTACCTTTTAAACTCTATGTGACAAGTGCTGTTCCAAGTCCTCGTATGCAGCGATGCATAAAACAATCATGACTGCTGGCTCCATGGATTTTACTGTCCAGTGCAGGCTTTTGCCAAATTGCTAATCTGTGAAAATATAGTAAAAGTGTGTGAATTATGCTGAATAGAGAGTGAATGCTGTTTACTATTTATATGCCTTTTTATCACCTGCAATTCATTATAACTCCTAGATTTTTAAAAATTGCATTTATCCTATGTCATGATTGTTCCCGGGCAACATGCACGACAGATGGAGCCCCTAGCATCCTCTGGCAACTTTTTTTGTGGCCTTTATCCACCACAACACACCAGCTCCTCAAGTCCCTGGACTATTACTGGCTTCCATGGCCGCACAGAGCTTTTCATTTTACCCTTTCTCCTAGCATTGCATGACCAGCCTTACAGCTCCCAATTTTACTCTTTAAAAAATATTTATTTTCTGACTAAATTGTATTTTAATAGAGTAATTCAAAGGAATGAATTGTGTTATTTCAGTAGAAATATGTGTATGGAAGCACACACACATGTTGAGTGGGAAGTTAGAAGAATATTATGGAAAATTCTTGGGAAAGTCTTACGTTGTATGATACGATCTACTTATCTTATTGGAAAGGGAAATTTTCTATTTCCTTTTCTGTGTGTGAAGCCAGATATTTGATTATCATGCTTTTTAGCACTTATTGTCGGTAATTTCCTTTGCATTCCAATATATCTTAATAATTTTAGTTGCTTTTTATTATTACCTAAAACAAATCCTCCCCTCCAGTCTCCTTACTCTCTCTTTTATGAATGTACACTCCCATAACACTTTGTCCAAGTATTTCTCCAGTCTAGGATTCCCTGAAATGCATGCTCTTCCAAGTCGTATCTTAAATCCTCAAGATCAACATTCCCTGATAAATTTAACCGATAAGAATCACACTGCTTCTTTCTCTCAATTCTTATTGTTCTGATGATCTGTACCACACACACTTTTACATGTGGATTTAGTCTGTAATTCTTTATCCTGTAATTTAACATTTTTGTCTTCTCTGCACTAATAATTAGATTGTAGTCTCCTTTCAAAAAATAGCCACCTCTTTTAATTCCTGAAGTAATTTCATCCTTGGATAAGAAATTATTGTAGCTCCCCCCCCTTTTTTCCTAGAGAAATTAAGCCTGAGTAATTATTTATATGCCAACTCTTTCTTGAAAGATGTAATTTGATGCAGTGGTGAAGGAAAAAGGGTTGTGAGACCGAAGAGGGAAACCAGAAAATAAGATAGGACCTTCTAGAGCTAGTGACTGCTTCACCAGAGAACAGAATAGACCACGTATGCAGAGGGTCTTGAAGAAGCTGTTGGAACCACTGCTTTAAATGGCAAGAAATTGATCCAATGGGTCCTTCCAATATTCCGTCACTCATTGGCTAAAGTTTACACCAAAGGACACCCCCTCTTTGAACTTTCAGTCTATGTTTCCCAACCCTCTGGGTCACTATTTGTGAAGCCTGTCCCCAATGTCTGGCATTAGGAGAAAACAAAAAGTTACAGAATAGTCACAGGGACATAACTTACATCATAGGAAATATAGTCAATAATATAGTAATAACTTTATATAGTGTCAGATGATTGGGTACTTCAAATAGCAGGGGGGCCACTTTGTAAAGTGTATGATTGTTTAACCACTGTACTATACACCTGAATCAAATACAAAATAATATTGAATGTAAACTACAATTAAAAAAGATTTAATATCAATTATTTTTATTTTTTTGAGAAAGAATCATGCTCAATATTTGAAAGACATTTTAAAATTTCATATTACCTCATGTAAATTAAATAACAAAACAGGGATAGGTTTATTAGTTTATTTTATTCAGCAAATACTTATTACATGTTGAAGTCTACCAAATGTTTGTTTTAGGCGACACTGTTAAGGGGGATGAACTAATAGAAACATTACCTCTTATCATGTAGGCCTGAATCTTAATGGAGAGAGATAAATAGAATAGCTAATTATGTGATTTTCACGTGGTGATAACTATATGGGAATGAAATAAAGCAATTAAGTTGATATCATGTACTGTGTAAGAGTGAATGGAATTTAAAATAGTAAGGTCTGTGCACTCCTCTTTAAAAGATCACATATGTGCAGAGATTCAAAAGAGGCAGATGAGTGAGCAAAGATTGCAAAAAGAGTGAGCAAAGGTTGCAAAAAGAATACAGCATTCAAGGCAGAAGGAAAAGGAGGAGCAGAGTTCCTGAAATGGGAACATTCTTGATGTGCTCAAGAAGCAGAAAGGACATTTGTCATTCTGATCCATGCTTCCATGTCATTGAATCTATTCTGTTCATCAGTTTATTAAGTTCTTTAGATTCCACATATGAGTGATTATTGTTCATCAGACGTTTATATCCTCAAGACTGACTGTTGCTTCTATTAGTATTTAATCATTGTTAAAATTTCCTGTGGACAAATAAGTTTGGGAAATTCTATCATCGTTGTTTCATATTTAGGAAAGATCTGAGTGAATACTGAATCACCTCATTTTTGGGTGAGATTATTGAAACCCTGGACAGTGACCTGTCTTGCTAAATAATGATGAAAATAGCTATTGTTTGTTGAGAACTTAACATATGCCTGTTACTTAACAAAGAAGTTTATACACATGATTTTATCTAATTCTTACAAGAACCCTACAAGATAGGTAGTATTTTCTTCAGAAATTTAGGTGTGGAAAAATTAGACCTTGGGAGGTAAAAATGATTAAAGTAATACAAAGAAAAGAAAAAAGGCAGAAAGGAGGTCAATGTGGCTAAAGCAAAGTGAGTTAGTGAAAGAGAATATTAAGAGACAAAGTCAGAGAGATAACAGGAACCAGAAAATGTTAGGCCTTTTATGCTATGTGAGGATTTCGATAGAGATGAGCCAAGGAGAGACCATCTGACATACATTTTAACAGGATCTTTGTGAATTCATTAACACTAGTTTAGACTATTGCAATAAGGGTGGCAATGAATCAGTGTAATAGCATATTAGTATGAAACTATTTCTATCTCCCTTTTTTTTTCATGGAGGAGTTGGTACTAGAAAGAGTGAAAAGCTTGGGAAAATGCTTAATGAGAGATCCCTCAACTTGAATCACTGGTCATCCACTCCACAGACATTTTGGAATCTCTGCTTCTGCCATGGAATGTAGGTGGATTCTTAGAAAGTTCCAAACTCTATCTTTTGGCATATGTCTGGTCTTTGGAACACTGATGAATGCTTCGTTTCTATACAATTAAGGCGTGCACATGGTCCCCTACAGTACCAGTTACCCAATTTTGAACAAAGCAAGTAAATCAACTATCTCATGGCTTCTATATTTTCTAAGTGGGAATTAGGCCTTTGTATAAATAGTTTTAACAAAGGTGAAAGAATGCCCTATCTCTGCATGAAAAGATTAAGACTCAAAATGTTATTTTAACATTTGAATGTGTAATTGGTGAAAATGTGTCTAGATAATTTAGCATTAATTTAGCATTCTATAATCATAGGCTTCATTGTGCCTGTTACTCTGAGAACACTTATGCGCAGATAGTGCTCTTCTATTAGTTTGGCTAATCAGCATTAACAGAGGTGAAGTAGACATCACTATCTAAAAGTACATTGAGCGCTAATCATTGACTGAATTTTAGATAGTCTAACAAGTTAAATATAGTTTAGATCTTCAGTTAGGACTAAGGTGACAGTGCTATAGAATTATGATCTCTATATCACTATGAGGAAATAAATGATGTAGAAGACTCAATAGTAACATCGTTATTCCAAAATTTAGTTTATTTATTTATTTTTACTAATTTTTTAAATATAATATCATATTCTTATAATATGGCTCTCATGCTAGAGTTAAGGAAAACCTTGATTAATTGAAGCCTTTGCTATGAGTTTCTGTTAGTCGAAGTTTTACGGTATCTTCTTTCTAAATTTGCCTTTGATGTTAATTAGAAATTTTAATTTTTAATTCTCATGCCTTTGTGACTATAACTATACTCTTTAGATATTGATGTATTTTCAATTTTTAAGGTATATCATTAAAAGATCATAAGCTGCAAAATTTTATTCCTGACATAGAAAAATCTTAATGAAGGAGGAAAACTTTAAATATATTATATTTATTAGTGAATAGTTTGATTATAAGTCATTCTTAAATAAAAACTATTTTAAATTTTATTTTTGTTATACTTTTTATACTTCATTCTCTTTTATGTTTTATTATAATAATTTTAACTTTTAAAAACATGTTCAAATTTTTTTCCTAGATATCATTTTTGGTGTATTCTTAAAAGAACTCATTTGAACTTCAAACATTGAAGTCTGGCTATCAATTGATTAAAGAGAATAGAGATCATGAAGTAAGTAAATTATTCTGTCCCTTTATTCTCTATCATCCATGTACTCCTTAAGATTTAGTTCTTTATAATTACTCTCTGGAAAGCAAATTACTGACACATGGCCTTTGTCTAACTAATGGTCTGTTTTCTACTACAATAAACAACCTATTTGGCCCATTTACTCCGACAGAATTACCTTATTCAGTGACTTTGGCATAACAGTGAATTTCTTGGGTGACTAGATAAGAAACTTTTCTACGTGGAAGCAAAATGCAATGAAATGCCAGATAGTGACTCACAGAAGCTACAGAATTGTCCAGACTCTTAAGTTCAAAAATCAGGCCACGCATTTTAGTTCTGATTGGACATTGACTTGCCCTATGACTTTGACCGTGTATTGAACTTCTCTGAGACTCTCATATTAAAGCAAAGGGCACAGAAATTCTATCCATCTGTTTAGTAGGGCTGCTATGAGCATTTCGTGAATTTCTCAGTTTTTGAAATTGATGTATGTTTTTCCTTGTTGATGATTCAACTGATTTTTATGGAAAAAGCCTTTACCGTAAACCATTGTTGTCAGCTACTATTAGGGTTATTAGATGTCAAAAGAACTTGGCTGGTTTTTTTTGGTTTTGTTTTTGTTTCTTCTTCTCTGTTGGGATAGAGAACCAAAAAAATTATCAATGAGTAAAACAAGACAAAATTATAGTGCTCAACTCTGGAAGTTTTGAGCATGTTAGTATGTGGAATTTTTATTTTTATTTTTAAAAAATTTTTTTTAAAAATATATTTTTATTGATTTCAGAGAGAGGAAAGGACAGGGAGAGAGAGAGATAGAAACATCAATGATGAGAGAGTCATTGATCGAGCCCACAACCGGGGCATGAGCCCTGACTGGGAATTGAACCCCGATCGCCTGGATCCTAGGTCGACACAACCGCTGAGCCACAACCGGCTGGGCTGTGGGATTTTTAATATGTAATGTGTAAATATGGATTTCACCCCATATTTACAATAGCAGATTTATCAGGTACTTTGAGCCACAGAGAAGTTGTGACTGCCCTTACTAGTTAAGTGGTTGATCATGCTTGAAATAACTAAGAATTTAAGAAACTGAGTTTCATGTAGCACTTACTACATAAAAAAAACAAAATAAAAAAGGTAAACAAAATATAAGCTAGGTAAAAAATAAAGGAAGAAGGGGAAATTTAATTTCTATTGTTCTCCTAATTCATTTTTAGAAGTTGGACCTGTGTAAAGTAGGAGGAGATAGGATTACCTTAAATGCATCTCAATAAAAAGCACTTAGGATCACTTAGAGTCTTAGTCAACTTAATAATGAGTAGAATAGGAATCATAAAATAAAATTTTGCTAATAAAACTTAGATCCAAAGCTCAGAGATTTTGCATTTGTCAAACATATGACTTATGCTTTTAGTACTAAGTTGTTTTTATAAAAATGCTTTTTTTTTACTGCATAACAAAATTTCCCCTGGACAAAGCAAAATATTAATTTACCATACTATTCTTTCTTTCATTGAAGTAAATACAGGAGAAAAATCTAGGGTTTTTTTTTTTTTTTTTTTAATTCTTAAATCAGTAGAGTATATTATATGTATTAAGGAAGAGACAATAAAATATTTAAAAAGAAATATAAAATTTCAACAGAAACTATCTTGTCAATAATACAAAGATCAGGTATAATAGTAATAACCAAGCTAATTATCAAGTTATCCAATACCTACAATTTCAACAAGTTTCTTAAAAGAAAAATGTTATGCCTTTGACACCATTGTGGAAATAGCTTCAGGAAGCAAGTCATTTTAAAAAATGAAAATACAATATTAAGATTTTAATTTCACTATTTTTTTAAAAAAAGTAAATGCTGCCAATTTATATTTTGAAAGAATTAAAAGGAAGCATAATTACTCTTAAACCATCTAGTTAGTAAGAAAAATCCTAAAATCAGGTTTAAATATTAACTTTATTTTTTTTCTATTTTTTAATTTTTTAAATTAAAAAATTCAATTGCAGTCTACATGCAATATTATTTTGTATTAGTTCCAGATATACAGCATAGTGTTTAGACAATCATATACTTTATGAAGTATATTTTAATATTAACTTTAAAGTTATATACACCAAACCAGTACTTTTGCCAAGTAGTCACTCATTTGAACTTTTTCAATGATTCTTTATCCAAGACTGCTTATTTTCTCTTGAAACGAGCCTGAATGTTAGGAAGCCAAATTGCTGGTTAAACATTTTTTTAAAAAAAAATATGAAAATATGAATATACTCAAATAGTCCAAGAATGATTCATTGAAAACTGAGTGCATCTATATAAACAATTCAATACATGAATAGTGTTTAAACATTAGTTGTCATGAGAAAGGTTTAGGTCTTAGGAGATCAAGAATAATATAAATTTTCAGTTTTATTTGCTTCACAGATTATTAATTCTCATTTTTAAATTACTAAAGGTTTTGAGCAAAACAACATTTAGCACCACCCCAGGGCGAGTGTTCCAGCTGTATCTGCATTCTAGACAGATTGGGGGTGTGTCAGTGGCGTTTAACGTTCAGCTGTTCACCACAGCCCCACTGCCAAAACGAAGGGTCATCAGATGCACATGGCATCTCTGCAGCTTCCTAATACACCAGGCAATAAGCAATACCATGTTTGTACCCGAGGTTAGAAAACGTGTAAAAATTCTTTTAGTCTCTCAAATCAATTTTATATGACCCATGTTGAGTTTTATCATCAAGATTTTAATTCAAGGACCAAAGGAATTATGTACCTCCATACTAGCATATGAAATTGGTTACGATGCTCCCTTCATTTCTTTTACATAGGAATTAACATTTACTATTTATTCTCCTTTATGTTTTACACATTAGGTTGAATCAATAATTAATAATTAATGATCTACTCTTATTCAGAAAAAAAAAAAAAAGACTGTAGATACCATTAGATTTAACTCATTTCTTTTCCCCCAGAACTTTGTTCTTCGAAGGTAATCAACTTTAATTTTTAGGCTTATATAATATCTTCAGAAGACAGACTTGAAACAGCAACATAATCTAAGCATCTGGGACATTTACTGTAGCATTGAAAACTAGGCAGCATACTGAAGTGTTTGCTGTATTCCTGAAAATGACTCCATGGGTTCATTCCTGAAAATGAACCCAGCAAGTTGTTACCACCTTTGCCATTAATGACAAACTGTTTTCTGCACATAGGTTCAATAAAGGCATTGTCGCACCAAGTTTTAATGTTCTAGTAAAAAGCTTCTATCTTTTGACTTTCAGGCAACACTTTGAAAAAGGTGGAAGTCAACTATCGTATGTAATTTTCTTTTATTGTTTCTATCTCTTTCATAATACACGTATTAGAATTTTGCTGGCTAGCATAAGATTGTGCCCATTTGAACTCAGAAAATAATAGAATCAAAATTAATTATTTCTAATATTTCTCATAATTATGTAAGGGGCAGAATGACCTTGAAATGTGGCTCTTTATAAAATGGAAGAAGGCATAGTTTTCTATTAGTAAATTAACATTGAAAAAACATCTCATGGTACTGCAAATGATTATTCCATTGGATATTCATACCATTATTTAGAGCAATTTAAAAATCTGCAGTAAAATACGAAGCTTATGGTCTACATTTAGAAATCGATTTTGTTTATGTCATGAATGAAGACAAGAGATAGAAGGTAGCGACTAAATAACTCTGGTAAATTTTCTTAACCGGGGAACAGTTCAAGTTGTGATTTAATTCAGTGAACTACAAAGTGGCTCATATTGAAGTAACTGGAGATTTGTCGATTAATGTGCTATTATTTGTACGGTAAGATAGATAACTAATAGGAAGACTCAGATTGTTGTATGAACTAAGTAAATCTAATCCAGTGATAAACAAGATATGAAAAAATAAAACTAATCTAATAATAAATTATTTTTCAAAAGAACTGTATCTGTATCTTTCAGATAAACCAATAATCAGTTTGTTTTTATGTAACTGTAAGAAAAACCTATTTTACTGGACTTTTACAAAGGACTTGGGTTGGCTACCATGTCAAAAACTCTTCAAGGTTATTTTCTACCGGTCTATGACCCACTGGTTTCTGTTCCATCCAAGGTTTCATGGTGGTGACTGACATGTAATTGTTTGACTATCGGTTCAGATACTGAGATTGATGGTGTGTGTGTGATCCTCTCAGTATACTTAAGATGAAGTGTTATTTTTCGGTGCTGAGATTCGTTGTTTTTAGAATAGATCACTGCATGGGATACAATCAGCCAGGACATCCATGGGTTTTGAATAGGAGTTGTTGGAAACTGAATTACATGAAAGTAATAGCTCCCATGCAAGTTAGTGTTTCTTAATTAAGGTCTGTGTGGATGGCTACTCTTTTCTATTCTTATTTCTTATGGACAATCTTTTTTTAAAAATTGATTCTACTGATACTTGTAATATTTCAGAGAAATGTTTTTGCATTTTAGAGTAAACAAAAATAAGAATACTGTTCTAGTTTGAAATGAAATCAAATATTAACTCAATCAATCTGCTGTTGCTGACACCATTACCGATGTCCCCATTCCATCCCTCTTCCCCATCTCCTCCACCCAGCCCTCACCCCCCTTCCCTCTGGCCAGCACCACAGTGTTGTCTCTGTCTGTGGGTTATGCAGATATGTTCTTTGACTAATCCCTTCACTTTTTTCATCCAGTTCCCTCCCCACCTTCCCTCTGAAAATTGTCAGTTTGTTCCATGTTTCCATGCCTGTTTCTGTCAGGTTTTTTTGTTCATTAGATTCCACAAATAAATGAGATCATATGGTATTTGTCTTTCTTTGACTGGTTTATTTCACTTTGCATAATACTATCCAGGTCCATCCATGCTGTCACCAAAGGTAAGAGTTCCTTCTTTTTACAGCCTCATAGTATTCCGTGGTGTAAATGTCCCACAGCTTTTTTATCCACTCACCTACTGATGGGCACTTGGGCTGCTTCCAGATCTTGGCTATTGTAAAAAACACTCCTCTTAGCATAGGGTGCATATATTCTTTCTATATATTGGTGTTTCTAGGTTCTTAGGATATATTCCCAGAAGTGGGATTACTGGGTCAAAAGGCAGTTCCGTTTTTAATTGATTGAGGAAACTCCATACTGTTTTCCACAGTGGCTATACCGGTCTGTGTTCCCATTTATTGATTTGTGGATATTGTCCCGCCTTGCATCCCTGAGGTAAATCCCACTTGACCATGGTATATGATCTTTTAATGTATTACTGGGTCAATCTTTTCAACCCTTGCTTTAGGCCAAGAGAAAAGCAGCTTTTGCTATTAAAACCCAGATAATTAGAACAAATGTGTACACTGCTTATTGTGCTGTTGTGTGTATAAGCTGTATGCTTATATAATCAACTTTTCTTGTTCAGTCATCAAAAGAAGATACATTCTATCTCCATTTGATTGGGGTGATGTCAAAATGATCAGAATAAATTCTGTTTTCTTCTCTCATAATACTCACCCTTTACAATTTTAAGTATGCAAACTTACAATTTAATATAGACATTTCCGAGTGTAATAAAATTCTGAGTCTCCTATTTTAGATACACATTACCTTTGATCCATCTTATTGAAAGAAATTATTTAAATAAGAAAGCTACAGATTGGATTGTTCTATCTTTAAGATGTTTTGTGCCTTATCAATCTTTGATTTTGTTGCTGAAATCTCATTGCACTTCTATGTTTTCCTGGGTTAAAGTTGTTTTAGAAAGCTGAATAAATCTATATAGCTGAAATTCATTGACTTAAGTGCTCTAGTATTGTTCTTTTACCTTTTCTTGGCAATTTTCTTTTTCTTTCCTTTTATTTTTTTATATGCAGTATACATTTTGCTTTGGTTTGAGACTGTTTGTGGAGGTATACTTCTCCCATAAAACGGTTGGATAAAAATGAGTCTTACTTCATTCTTTTGTAAAAATTACCTGCTCACATGATTTATCTCTGTTACCTTCCTCGCTTGTGATTGATGACTAATAAAGTGTAAAAGATCCCCACCCCCTTGTCTATTTCTGTCAATACATGTAAGCCAATACAATATAACATGTCAGATTTTTCTTTCTACTGTTCATCTTTCAAATTCTTCTGAGCTATACATTCCTCTTTACATATAGTGTGTTTCCTGCTGCCCACAATTTTAGGTTAAAATGCCTTGATTCCTCTTTGTTGAAACTCACTGTCCTGAAGCAAATGTAGCTGCTGAATTCATTGCATATCTGAATGGCATAGACAATGGAAACCTATGACCTTTGTATTTTTTTCTTCTTCTTAGTACATCTCTATTTTCAGTCTGTGTTCTATCTTTGAATCGCTACTGTACGTGGTTTCCATCTACTTAAAGATAAAGATCATATCTTACTTTTCTTTAACATCCTGTACAAGTTAGGCACAAAAAAATGCAGCCCTTAAGTCATTTTTATATGAATGATTGGTGTGATCAAAATAGTGTAAATGGTAAAGGGGGTTTTACACTGCCTTGAGTCTTAACAGCAGACGCTCAGTGGTCATTCACATAATCACTACTGTTTTGACAATATTAAGTGGGGAGGTAAATATCTTTCTACATCATGGCTTATCTTTAACCCTTCACCTCTTACTATTCTGGCATAAGTCCCTCTTCCCTTATGTACAAGAGAATAAGAAAAGGAATATGAATATCCTGAGCCCAGTGTCTTTATCAGTAAACTCTGACACGAATCTGATTTTAGAGCTAGACAGAAACTGAGGTCAGAAAATACCCAATCAGAGGTAGAAAAAAAAGATCTAACCTACTGGAGCCAAGCAGACTTTGGTTGTAACATAAACTTACATGTGTGTATGAAAGCTTTTCTGCTCATTTTGTTATGATTGAGTTGAATTACCAGATTCATCTAATCTTGACCAACAGCGCAAGGCATAAATTCTAACATTTTTTAGGAATTTAGCCCTACATTTTATCTTGGCATTTTGACTGTTTTTCTTACTAAGGGACATGCTGAGGAAAAAAATAGTATTTACTAAGCTTTCTATTGGAGATATGAAATAATCTTAATTCCAAAATGGATTAGATTTGTAATCTCGGTTGACCCTCTTAAATTACTGTTTCCTAAATGTAAAAATAAGAGAATCATATTTTTTTTGCACAATTAAATAGAATAATTTTTCTGAAAGCACTTGAATAAGCACTTGAGAGCACTCTTTCTTCCTTGCTTCATCCCTGATTAGATGTGGGCTACTCTTGGGAGAGAAATCTTAAATCTTGGCCAAGACGATGTCCTAAAGGGGTGCCTCTTTGGAGAGTCTAGTGTAGAGTGAATCACGATATCCAGGAATTGTGAGGAAGGTGGGAGGTGCCGATGGAAGGAGAGCCACCACAGGCTGAGGAGGGCACCACTCACCACTCTTCTGAGAACTTTTGTGCCCTATTTCTAGCTGCTCCTTTCTTTCCCCTACTGTAAATCAAAACTATAGCTCAGAGAGGTAGTGAGTAACAAATGGGGGCTGAGAGGTGAAGAAGCCAAACATAGTTCCTTGTCTCAATGTAGGTTGCCAGCCAACAACTGACCATTGCTTAGATAGGGGAAGTATTTTTCCATTAAATTAAGATTGATTAATATCTTGGACTAGAGCCTTTTAAATGCTGATTCACTATTTACTGTCTATCTTAAAGTAAACTGTCCACTGTTTGAGTGGACATATAATTATCATGGAGCCTGAAGAACTTTCATCTAGTGACAGGGGAAAAAGTTTCCCCACTGAATGAATTACAAATGGACAATAGAAATAAAAATAAATTGGATTTCGATAAGATCCCACACATCATGTTTATACCTGGAACAGGTACCTAATATCTCTAAAGGTAAAATCTTTATTAGCAATATACCATGCCATTATATGAATCATTCAATTAAGTCAACATATCTGTATTTTGCCATACGATTTAATTATTGAGATAAATGATGGCGGTATGTCTAGCATGGCGTAGTCATTGTCTAAATTAGCACTATGTTGCTGGTTACCACTGCATAATGATTGAGCTTGTCCTTGCTTCCCTCCAGTTCTATCAATGTTAGTTGGTTTTTTGTTTGTGTTTTTGCTTTTATATCTCCTGCTGTAGATACCGAATCAAGATAGCTTAACATTACCTTCCTTGTAACGCTGGGGAAATATACTGCTCCCCTGTTATGTTGTTTTCACATTTCTTTCCTTCCATTTGAACATATGCATGCCCCATCAGTTTAAATTTGCTCTGCCTTTTATATCCAATATTAAAAATTGGCGTGAGATAATAAGAGATTAGTCAACATATAAGAGATATTTGGAGGCAGGCTTGAGTTCTTCCAATTAATTTTCCAAAGAAAGGCAGCCCAGCTCTTGAAATAGCTACACCACATTAAGTAGATATAAACAGTTATACCTTCTTTACCT